CTATTTTGCCCCGGTCAAGATTACGAACCCTGTCTTAATTCAGCATAAAGGAATTGCCAAAATCATACCACATTTAAGGCCTCGTTAACGTATCCATTTCGGAAACAGTGAGCGGATTTAAGAATTCGATTCAATTTCAAGCAGTGAACGGATTCACCGTTATGTTAATTTGTCCGCCTGAAATGCGATGTTCCTATGCCGGCTAGCCAAATAGCTGGTACTTTTGAAAACATTAGGCCCAACTAATCATCAATAACATCCCGTCGAATCATAATAAGTAAGACTAAACCCTCACTATGTTGATGATAAATATGAATAAGTATGAAGCGAAGAGATAGTCGCAGAGCAACGTAAAAGATAAGGCATCAAGAACTAAAAAAAATTAAATGCATAATTACATAATAAATAAAACTGAACCACTATACATAATTACGTAATAAATCACAGTGGAGTCAATATGGAAATTCTAGGTGCGAGTTTGAGCAGAAACATGAATAGGAATGAATGTTAAAGAATCCAGAGAATATGCAGTCTTCGATCTACAATGCGCTCTCGTCAAGAACGCTATCCAAGGACTTCGAATTCGTTAACTTCAAGATGGGGTGCATGACGTATAAGTTAAGGTAATGCTGCGAAGAGATAAAGTAACATTTAATGGATTAATTCCACGCCAAGATATAATTTGCGTCCGATGAGCGTAACTGTCTTCATGCGCACAAAATAATTCCATGCACCTTTCGCTACAACTTAAAATGAAGACCTTCGGACAGATTCAACAGAAATTCGAGATCGAATCTGAATCAATCGAAGCAGCAGAAAAAAACTCCCGTGTGCATGAAAGCATATCCGATGATATCAATTTTGAAACAATTAAGGACGACCAAACTTTAAAAACATCGAGCAAATTGAACATATTGATATTGCACTCAATTAGTTACAACTTAAACTATACGAAATGAAGAAATATCTGCTGATCAGTGCCTATGAAGGGCCCTATGAGTGTGGCAGTAGGTCAGTAAAGTTCGTCAGAATCGCTCATCCTGAAGAGTCGAGTTGCTGTTGGGGAGACTCGAAGATATACTCCCTCGTAGTGTGATTTAGTAACATTTCGATTAATGTTTGTTGCCAATGATCAATTTAAATTGCAACCATTTATTGCGCATATGGGTGTTCCCAACCTGTCGAGCTGCCAATAAGCGGGATTAGGTTCAGGTGAGTGCGACAGACACTCCCGCGCCTACCGGCAGTCTAAGCGAATCGGGGAGAAACAACTAATAATATACTAGAGATATTTATTGGAGTGTGCTAGGGTTCATTCTTCAAAGTATATCACGGACATTCTCGCTACCGGAATGGCACCGACTTCGCCGGGGATAGGGCATGCGTGTAAGTTGGCCTGAGTAGTGTCTTCGGGTACTTGCTCAGGTACCGGGGATTACCAGAGCCACCGCGCACATTTTCCATTGACACGGGGAAATTGTCAACGGGTTGATCATTGACTACATACATGAAATTATTTCGCTTAGTTGAATGTTATTGAATACATTATAAGGGGAAATCTCTCTGGTTTGCAGTTATGTGCCAGGCCGAAGCTTATCTATGTGCCTTATGTTCCTATTGCTTTGATCTAGCCTCTTCGATATAACCTTCATTTCTGTAGTCATTATAACGTTTTCTCTTGCTAGTATCAGTGAAATAACTTGATAACGTTAAAAATGTCTATTGAATAAAAAATTCATTACCAGCTTAGTGAATTGCTCGTTACGAGGATTTGAGAAATTATCAGTTTTGCTTTAGAAAAAATGACTGTATTGCAGAGCTCAAATCCATGATTGAGGTTGAGTCCGGTATCTGTGGTTTAGCACGTGCACAGAACGCTAACTTCTCACTAAACCGCTAGTAAAAGATCTTCACGAGCTTGAAATCGACCGTGTTATAAGGTTCAAGCTGAGCCTAAGACTCTGATTTGAGGACTCGGTTTTAATTCCCTCAAGTTAGCCCTACAAAATGAGAGAGAGATGGAAGCGCTTGATACCTCTCGTATCACTTAACGTTGTACGCACTAGTGATTGTACCCAACCGAAATTCGTTTGGTAAACTCCCAAAAATTTCGGTCAGCATCCGAGATTCGGATTCCGACCGAAGATTTCTAAGTTTGGTTGAAATACCGAATTTCGGAATCTCAAAATGTGAATTCGGTTACATCCCGATCGAACTGAAATTTCGTTCGCATATCATCATTATTATGAATTCAGCTTTATTGTGTGGAGACTTGCGTTGATTATGCTGCTTATCAAGGCCATACTCATGGTCAGTTTCCAGTCAGGCACTATTCGGTCAGCGTTGTTCCATAAGTTGCTTTCTTCAACTATTAAGTTTCATGTAATCGTTTTTGTCGTAGATTTGTTCATATCTGTCGTAACTGCTTCTTTTCACTGATGAAAATAATCTATCTATAATATGATCTGATACTGTCTATCTATAACCACCATTACAGTTCGATACCGCGATCAGAACGAAATCGGATTTCCAAAATTACCCATCTCTTACTGAGAGAACCAAAAGTAATCAGCCTGATCAGCATCTACCAGTAACATATTTTTTTTCAAAAGCATGATTTTCCTTGCATGCTGCCGGACTGAAACGATTATTTGCTTTCGTTTGTTCCGTTAAGTTCCACCGAATGGAGCTCACAGAGGAACCGTTCGGTTTTGAGTCGTGTTATGGAACGGTGCTAACCAAATAAATCAACGATATGTAGTGGCAATTTCACTTGTCTATTTTGTAGATTAGAAATATAAAAGCATTTTTATTGTCGCTTCAAGAAATATCTTCTATCAAATAATCAATGTTTGTTCGCGCGTTAATACACGGGATATTTTATGTACAATTATATGGGTTTATTAATATTAAGTAATTCACTATCACATTACAACGATGTGACGTAATACAGAAAAGTTAGGAGAAAAAGAATAGTTCGCATGTGATGATATGTGATCAACAGATTTGAAATTTCCCGATGGAACTGCTGAATAGTGGATCACCCAAGCGAGATTTTCTGGGACGAAAATATTTCAGTGATAGTTCCGAACAAGTTGCACAGGAAAGGATAATATTATTACAGGATGGCAATATCCAAAGCTGTCTTTGTTTCAGGACAGCCGAATCTTTCTTTTTTGATAAGAAAAAGCTCTCTCTCCNACCAACCAACTGTAACTCTTAACAGATACTGCCTGAAGCTGAGAAATCCAATGTGATACAACTGTATCGGAAATGAGTCAGAAATGACTCGGATTGAACAAATTACGAGAAGAACGCGTCGTATCATTGAAGTGAAATCAACGTTATTAAGGCGATTTGTAAAGAATATGAGGAGGAGAATTCGAAAATTCGAAGAGAAGGAGAATTAATTAAACAATTGGTTATGGTGAGTGATGATTGCTTAAGGTTGATCATAATTTGATGTATGATCTTATGATTGATGGTGTTATCGATTGACCATTGGGAACGATTTCAAACGAGCTCTTTCTTTATTCCATAACATTCACAGTATCACCGTCAAAACGTCCTGGCTCATCGACTTGTAAGAAAACTGGATTCAAAACAAATGGTTTCTGGTCGATTCGTAATGCGGCATCGTCGACTACCTGTTGTTGTTGTTGTTGCTCATTCATGACCGGCATTTCAACCTGAAGAGAGAAAAACTCACTCGTTTAGAATATTAATCTGTTAATTCAATTGAAAAAAAAAACAACAATATCATGATGTTCAAGGATAATAT